ATGACTCTTGTCTAGCGATCTGGGGACTGTCTACAATCTTAAAGTTTCAAGGAGACAAAAAGAAGGGTGGGGAATGGCGTGCCATAAAACTTGATATGCTTTATTTCTTGAAATGCAAGACACTCTTCGATCAGAATGGTAGTAAATGGTCTACTTTTCGGGTGGACATTTTTTTTTTAAATCACTACAGAGATTTTGTAGGCACCTGTGCATTATACCAACTATTTAGAGCACTTACATGTTACAGCTATATGCAATTTATAAACAATTAGTTTGTAAAGTGCTTTGAAAATAGAAAGTGCTGTGCAAGTACTCAAATTAGTATGTATTTAAAAGGCTTTGGTATGGAATCATTTTATTTAATGACTGGCTCTTCAAAAGGCATAGTGCTTTACAGCTGAACAAGATTTCTAATTTTAAAACATTAATATTAGTTTATTTAAAGTGAAAAGCTATTAGCAAATCAGAGATACTGATCAAGTTATTTTTTCACAGTTTATATAAATACATTTGACTCCTATTTATGTCCCTCACCCTTTTATAGAACAATTCAGGCTTCCCTCAGGTTCCAGACTTTATGCAAATTCCTTCCACTCATACCTGACTCTTGGTTATCCTGCCTGCCCTGCCCTTACTTTTTTCCTTTCCCCCATCTGCCTTCTGAAGTTGTTTTGTGTGAACCTGTGAGTTTATGGCCACTCTAAACAGAGGCAAGCCAGCAAGCCACATTATCAGTGAGGATAAATCCTCTTGAGAGCAATGAAGCCATGAGCCGTGGCAGTAGTTACCAATGGGTGCCTTTCCCACTGTACTGCTATAAATCACTTCAGTCTACTATCATCATCCTATACCTCTACGTCCACTAATTAAGCTTTGCTTTCATCTCCTGAAGGTCTTGGTTCAGAGGTATTAAACCTCATTTAAATAATCCTGTTTACCATCCCCACAAGGAGCACTCAGAGGCAAAATTTTAGATGAGGCAAAGAAAGTTCTGATCCTTTCCCACCTACCCCCTTAGGTCTTCCTGACATCTTCAAGTGCTAATTTCCTTGCAATGACACCGGCTTTCCAGAATCTCTTTCAAATCACTCCAGAACACTCCCTATCCTAGCACTATGACTTTGACCTTCTTCCCTCATCCCTGCTCCCACTAACATTTAACTCTCCAATGCCCTACAGTGAATTTTCTTGACTGGAAAACCCAAACTAAGCCCTTTTTCTATACAATGAGTGCTCATGTTTAGCCTTCTCAGGCACTGAATATGCCCAGTGCCCAACAACCTCCTTGTTAATGCTGATCAACACTTTTCTGTCCTCATGTGTCTCATTCAACATCATTTTTCCCTCTCTGAAAGCACTGGCTTCCACAACTCTCCTTTCTACACCTCACTGGTTGCTACTTTTATACCTAACCTTTAATGCTGAGCTTTCTGAGGGCTTAGTCTTGGACCTACTTCTTTTATCACACTCGTTTTTATGGATTTTACATCATTTGGATGGCAAGAACTCACAAAGTTTCTCTACAGCTTAGATGTTGTGCATGGCCTCCAACTCATATATCCACTGCCTACCACATTCAAAATGGACCTTTTGATTCCAGTTACCTTTTCCACTTTCTAACCTATTTTTCCCCTTAAGCTTCCCCTTTCAGTACTTTGGCCCCAAACCTAAGTGGGAGTCATGTCTCACCTTCCATATCTAATTCCTGAGGTTTACCAATCCTGTACCAATTCAGTTCTAAAATATATTTCAAATCAACCTTCTTTTGTCCATCACTAGCTTGCTGCCCTTCCAGGCCAATGACACTCTTAAGAGTTCCTCTCAAATTCATCCCTCCACTGTACTCAAAGTATTCAGATGTTGTTCCCACTGTACTTAAAATCCAAACCCCTTACCACCCCGGCTCTTCTTCTCACCGTTATCCATAGCCTACGCCCTTCTTGCTTACCATGCTACAGATAAGCAAATCTTTCAACATCTTTAATTCCTCAGACCTCCAGTTTTCTGCCTCAAGACCTTTGCACAGCTCTTCCACCAAAACACATTCTTTTTGCAGTTAGCTCCTTCTCTTCCTGTAATCTTTGGAAGAGCTTCCCTGCCTTCCATACCAAAAGCTGACTGCCCTCTCATGTTTTCTATCTTGATCCTGTATGTTTTCACAGAATTACAAGTTTCAAAAACAAAAACAAAAACAAAAAACAAAAAACAACTCACTCCTGTATGTATGCTCTAGGAGAACAAGACCTGTGTCTCATCCAATACTGTTCCATTCCAGGGCCTGGTATATACCAGGTGCTCAATAAATACAGAAATATATTTATCCAAAGTTGAGTGCAGGAAATGTAGGTTCTAGGCCAGACTAGTAGGAGGAGGTCTGACTGGAGTGAATAAAAGGTTACATGCCATAACTGCCGACATGGATTTAGCTAGTATTTTCTAATTGTTTACTACCCATCAGGCATTGTGCTGCAAGTCAATATAGTGGGTAGACAATATAAGCACTAACAATAGCATAGTAAATCCAAGACTGGGAAACGCAGGAGTAAAATGAAAGCACATACAAGGGCCCAAACTAGGTTGGGAGCCTGACCTGTAAGTTCTTCCGTACCCTAGGGCACAGCAGAGTAAGGGTGTTCCAGGAATATGGAACAGCAAAAACAAAGGCCCCAAAGCACAGAGTGCTGGGGGTGGGATGCTCAGGTTCAAAGCTGACAAAAGATTTAGGGTGAATTAAGAGTCAAGTTGGGGTAGGACAGATATGAGACAAGGTTGATGAGATTAATAAGACAGCTCAGAAGTGGTTCACTAATATTTTAAGTTTTCAAAAAAAAAAATCATTTTCCAAACACGGAAATTTCCTTTTCCCCATCCTTATTGTAACCCTGGGCTATACTTAGATACCCACATAAGGACTGAAGATGTTGCCTGGTCATGCCAGCTTTCTCCTTTTATAATATAAACTCTCTGGACCTACTTAGGTCCTTTCTGGCAAAATATTTTATTAATGTCCTGAAATTAAAGCAGTACACTGGCATCTATCCTAGAATATGCTACCACAAAGATGGAGCTAGATCCTACCTAACTCTCCTGTGAAACCAGAATTCTCACAATTCTTTCAAGTTATTCCCCACCCTTGCCCAACCTACCAGTCATAGCAAAAGATGTAATTCTCTCATGATTTACTAGAAATATCTAGCAAGAAGCTAAATCCTCCTCCCACTTCCACCTTTCTTTCTTTCTTTCATTCAACCAACCACAGTCTATCTGGGGTCATGCTCTATTGCATCTCTCCCTCTCCCCCAATCACAGCCATGAATGCATATTCTTTTGAATTCCCTTGATCAAAGCCCTTGTCTAGGCCTCTAATTTTCTCCTAGCTTTCTTACTTTCACTGTTGGCTCAATTAAAAGAAAAAAAACAAAAAAAACCCTGAAACAATCTTCCAGATGAAGCAACAAAAACCACTCAAATTAGTTTAAATAAAAGAGGGAATTTATTAGATGAGTACAAAGGTTCTTGCGGGGATTCCAACAGCTGTAATGGGTCATAGCTAGAAGCACGCCTTTCTGGAGGACAGATCGTGTTGTAATCACAAACTTCTACTTCTGGGTTTTGCAAGATCACGAAGAGAATATCCTAGAGGATAGTCCTCCCCGTATAGTGCATAAGGGACTAGAATGTGGATTCATTTCTGCTTGCTTTTTGATCCTTATATTCCTTTATGCTGGCCTCAAACTTGTCAAGCACATGTTGGCAGACATTCATGAGCTCATTCAAGCCTCTCTGAAATGGCTCAACAGCTGGAAGAGCTCCTCGAGTCTGAATGCGTAAATTAATTTTGCTCTCTGAAGGATGGGTTGTAGTGTAACCACAAAATTCCACTTCCGGGTTCTTCATGATCATGTAACGAAGAGAATTTCCTAGGGTATGGTCCTCCTCGTGCAATACAAATGTCACACAGTGTCTATCTGTTCCAGCTGCCTGGACCATTTCCAGGGCTGTCTTCCTCTCGCCTTCAGCCATTGAGGTCTTCAATCCAGATATTTTTCTACACACATATTTTTTATAAAAATGAGATCATACTGAATATGGTTTTGTAACTAGCTTTTTTTTCATTTACTATATCACAATTGTAACGTATTACTCTAATGCGCTCCAATTACAAAGAATTATTTGTATTAGCCCCTTATTTTCCTGCCTCCACATATTCTATCAGTAAATATTTAATTATTGCCTCCAGTTTCTCCCTACTCCATTTGACCGTCCACATGGCCACAAGGGCACAAACTTAAATGTTTCCTAAAATATTCTTTCGGTAGAATCACGAGAAAGGGATAGGATTAGAATAGGGTGGGCTCTGCTACAGAATGAAAGGGTATTTAAAGGCATACAAAAACACAAATCTTCTGAAAAATTGGGACTGCAGATTATCATCGCGCAGGCCCCACTATGGTTTCCATTTGCAGGAGATAAACTAGAATGGAAATTCTGAGAAGTGTCAATCAAGCAGGAGGGAGAAAGAACGGAGCGCACAGAGTGGCTTTATTAGCAATCTACACAGAGTAAGCTGGGCCACAGTTACAGGGGCTTAGGCCTGACAGAACGCACCAATATCAGCACTCGGCGAACGGAGACCTGGTGCGTGGTCTTACCTTAGTTTCATTTACTTTTGCTGTTCTCGCTCGGGTGGGCAGTTTAGGGACTTAACTCCGGCCTCGTAACTTGCGCTCCCTCCAGGACACCTGGTTGTACCGAGCGCCTCTACTCAAATACATGTGTCCTCCCTTCCCTTCCCAGTCGGGGCCCCTTCTCCCCGCTCAGGCGCCCACTTCTCTCTCCTCTCCCGTCCTCCCAGCCAGGCCCTCGCTGCCGGGCCGGACCGCGCCGCGGAGGCGGAGGCCCCGATCGGCCACCGGCCCCTCGGCCACCCGCTCCCGGCTCAGGGCGCGGCCTGCTACTCCCGCCCGTCCCCACCGCCCACCCGCCTCCACGGCCGTTACCTCTCCAGCTCCTGGTCCTCTTCCATCGCGGGCCGGCTTCCGGGATCCTCAGGTGGTGCTGGCGGATCGGAGGCGCTAACCCATACCGCGAAACGTGCAGGCGAAGCAGGAAGGAAGGAACGACGGACGGAAGGAGCCGAGGACGGAAGGAGGAAGGAGGAGCCGCAGCGGCGCGGCGAGGCCCAGCCGCTGGGCGGGGCGTGTACGTTCCGCCCGAAGGCCCCGCCCACAGGCCAGGCTCTCGGCGCGAGGAGGGCGGTGGCCAGACTGGACTCGCTCACCTGGAGCTCCCGGAGCCAGTCCGCCTGCTGAGCTAGCGGGGACAGGTGGGGTAGGTCTCCCCGCCCACCTCAAGGCCGAGACCCGCCTGTGGGCGCTTGCGTTCAGCCCTTGGCACCTTCCGCCAGGTGATGGCGAAGGGGGCGGGGCCCTACCTGCCGCCCCCAAATCACTTTCCTCCTTGGGGCGGAATCAGACCTCTTTCAGACATGCCGCTTGACCCGTGGGGCATGTGTTATTCTGGCAGGACCCCAAGCCTGGCGGGGGTGGGGGGGTGTTCAGGGGATGACAGGCTTAAACTATAGTTGATCAATACACCTTGATGAATTTCACAACAGAAAAGGATGAATTTAAGATTGTGTTTTGTCATCCGCGATCTTGCAGCTGCACACCTCAAATGGGTCCAAATAAGCCTTCGTTTTTATCTTTGTGGGGAAGAGCGAGAGTTTGGAAGGAAACTGCTCTTCTCCCCCCTTCCTTTCTCTCCTAGAATCTTTTCTACACCTGTAAGACGTACGTACTCCTTGCTCTGGACTTCCTTTTCCTTTTACCCTTTTGGCTTAAACCTCCTCACCTGCGGAACCTCCCTCTCACCTTTGTTCCCAGGTGCCCCTGCCCCCGCCTCGGCAACCCTTCAACCACCCGGACTCGCTCCCCGCCCTCCTTTTTCCTTCGTACCTCTCCTCTCTCCGTCCCCTCAGGTGTTCTTCGCTAAAAACCCCCTTCTCCCTTCCTCAACCTCCTACTCCCCTCGCCCTTTTCAGCCCGGTCAGTCTCCGTCCCTCGCACCTTACCCCAGAGTCCTCTCGCCTCAGCACACCTGTATTTCTGCTTTCCTGCGCCACCTGTTCTCATACCCCCAACCCGATTGCCCTAGATGGTCACTGCCTCCCCCAGCTGTTCCACTTCCTTGCGGCGGTCCGCGGAGAGCGCTGATCCACTTCTGGAGCGTGTCTTCTGCGGCCGGGGTAATCAGGCGGGCGGCAGGGACAGCCGAGACCGGGTGGGGGAGGGCAGGCGGCGAGGGGCGGAGTGGGCTCACTCTAACGCGGGAGTGACGGCCCCGGCCTGGCCCTCCCCCTGAGCTCTCGGATAGGTGGGGCCGCTCTCTGGCCCGCCTCTTTCCCGCCCTGTGCTGCAGCCGGTTGGCCTAGGTGCGTGTCGGGTTGGGCGCCTCGGCCCCGGCGCTCGCCCCCGGGAAGGCAGCAGGGGCGGTTGAGAAGTGAAGTCTTGGCCAGAGTTTACTTCTTGCCAGGAAATCCGCGGTGGTGGCAGCGGCGGCGGCGTTTCCTGGCGGAGCGGAGGCCGGCTGGCTCCCCGCTCCCTCAGCGGGCCGCGGAGAGCGGACCTGGCGCTGGGCTGCGGCGCCGGGAGCCGGTGCGCGCCCGGGGCGGCCGCGCTTTCCCAGTGAGTAACTTTGCCCTGCCCGCCTGGCCCCGCGCCCTGTCGCGGGTCCCGGGCAGCCGCCTCAGGTGCGGGCGTCGGCGGGGTGTGGGGCAGGGGCGCGCGGGGGGAGGCGGCCGACCTCCGCAGCTCTGCTCCTCGCTCGCCCGGGCTGTGGGGGACGTAGACCCGGACCCGCTGTGGGGCTGGCCGCGCTGGTCCGGGGAGGGAGGGACGGGCTATCCTGAGCCGGGTGCCCGCCGCCGGCCCGGCGCCTGGGAGAGGCGGGAGGCCCCCGGCGGTTACCATTTGGTGGTTCCAGCCACAGTGTTGCTGCTCTTTGCGTCGTTTGCTTTTTTCCAGGAGGGGAGAGGTGGGGATGAGTTTTTTTATTTCCTGCGTGTGTGTTGTAAATGAGAGTGGCACTAGCTACCTTACATCGGATCTTGTTCTCCAGGAAAGGAATAGGGAGATACCCACCGTCCCAGCCTGTTGCCTATGAATTCTCACCTTTCCCATGAGGCTGGAGAGGTGGGAGATCTCACGTCTTCAAGGGGGTAATTTCAAAATATGGATCTCGATTTGGAAGCAGTTGCACACAAAGCACCATTCAGAAAGGACCTCACTCGCTTTCAGAGCTATATGCCGTATGTTTCAGACAAGGACTTTTGGCATATGTAGTGTTTCTTATATTTCAGTTTGCAGTTTAGGTTAGGAATCAAGACGTTCTTATCTACCAGGGGCTACAGTACACTGAGGCGTGGGCTTAATTGTATAGATGTTTCTCCTTAAATCACAGAAACCAGAAACGAAGTTGAGTGTAAAGCAGTGGCAGGAGGAACTAGTTGCGAGCCCTGGTTTATAGGAACTGCCTTCACTTTAAGAATTTCACGTTCTTGCAGCAGTAGTACTTATTTGTCAATTGCCCTTCCTCCCAGGACCGATTTTTAAATTTTTTTTTCCTTGCATGTAGTGTGGCGCAGCGCTGATGAAGTTGGATCTCAGTAGATCAGTTTTATTTTCTCTGACAGGTTTGATTCGCATCTCCACAACCCTTTAGAAAATGGACTTCGTTTTATCTAGTATCGTTTTTGGCCTGTCAAAGCTTTGTTGAGCCATGAAAAACAAAGTTTTGCCTTTTTGCTTGTCCAAGTCCCACATGTGAGTTTTCCCGGAGGGATAAAATGTAGGCCAAATCAGAACCAAAGTACAATAACACTACTTTTAATTTAGCCCACTTGTGTGTTAACATTCCCAATTCTGTATCTTGTTTCTCTCTTCTCATCAAGTTAGAACATTTTCATTATTTATTTATTCAGCATGTAGTAGAGTGCCTGTTGCCTGCTGCATGCTCAGACATTGATGGCAAGGGTCAGTTCTTTCCCCAAAGGTGATCATAGTCTTATTGGAAGCTGATCCATACCTGTTCCATTAGCTACCTGAAAGTAATTTGAATAAAGTGCTGTGGGGACTTAGAAAAGGGAGCATTTCTGCCTGGAGTTTGCTAGGAAGGACCTCATCTAGGTACTTAACTCTTCAAATTGCTGTGGAATTTTCTCAGTACCTTCTAGGCAAAGAGACTAACATGTAGGGTGTTGCATTATGAGATCCACATGTAGTTACTCTGGCTGAGGGGCGCATTGTTTGGCGTTGGAATAGTAGTCAGGGGCTGGTGTATTATTCATTTCAGAGCACTTAGCACTTTGCCTTGATTACAGTAGGCACTTAAATACTTGTTGAACTGACTTGAACAGAAACATGGAGGATTTTGTGTGCCAATCGAAGAAAATTGGACTTTATCTACTTAGTGATACATAGCTGTTAATTTTATTTTAAGTTTTTTCAAAAGATTTTATTTATTTTAGAAGAGAGAGAGGGTGAGTGGGGAGCAGGTGAGGGTGGGAGAGGGGGAGAGAGAGAATCCCAAGCCCACTTGAAACAGAGCAGGGAGGCTTGCGCTCATTACCCTGAGGTCATGACCTGAGCCAAAACCCAAGAGCCAGCTGCTCAACCGACTGTGCCACACCGGCATCCCCAAAGCTGCTAATTTTAAATAGAATGTCATGGGGCACCTGGGTGGCTCAGTTGGTTAAGCACTGGACTCTCGGTTTCTGCTCAGGGTCCTGAGATGGGGCCCAGAGGCAGGCTCTGTGCTTAGTGGGGAGTCTGCTTAAGGATTCTCTCTCCCTTTTCCCCTCTCTCAACTTGCTCATGTGTGCGCTCTCTCTTTTTTCCTCAAATAAATAAATAAATCTTAGAAAAAGTAGTGCTTGGCATATAGTGAGGACTTGCTAGATGCTGGTTGTTATTCTGTGTGGAGGTAGCGGAGGTAGAGCTGATGGGGCACTGAGGAGATATATTTGGTTAGACTAGGTAAGTGATTAGATATGATCAATGAGAGGATGATTCCTAGGTTTTTTGACTTGAGGCATTGGAGTGTACTGGTTAAACTGGCTGTGAAGTCAGTACAAAAGTTGAATTCCATTGTTTACCCATAGAAGTACCATCCTGACCTTTGGTTTCCTAATATTTAGGAAATAATCGTAGTACCTGTCTAGTAGGGATCAAATGAAATTACACATAAAATGCCCTTGGCAGAGTACGTAGCATGTTACAAGTACTCAGTAAATATTAGTTGTTCCTTTAGTGATGATGACATTAATGAGCTAGTAGAATGTTGGAAGATACGAAAAGGAGTGATTAAAAGCAACTGAAGGTAGAAATGGGGAAGAGAAGATAATTAGTTTTGGACCAATCCAGTGAAGTGCTAATGAATGGTTGAGATTTCTGTGATGAAGATGTTGGATAGATGTGCTGGGCAGGAGCTAGAAAAGAATGGAAAAGAGGAAATAAAGAGTTCGTATAAAGCCTTTGTGGGTGTTGTTAGCTTTTTTTTTTTTTTAAGATTTTATTTATTTGAGAGAGAGAGAGTGTGCACACAAGCAGGGGAAGGGGCAGAGGGAGAAGAGGGAGCCTGACATGGGGCTCGATCCTAGGACCCTGGGATCATGACCCAAGCCAAAGGCAGACAGTTAACCGACTGAGCCACCCAGGTGCCCCTGTGGTTAGCTGTTTGGAAGATTTGAGGAAAGGGGAGGCAAAGAAGAGGCTTATAATATAGCAGTGCCAGCAGTGTTCATGTTGAGTATTAGGCATCTCTATCCTTAAAATGCGTTTTGGCCACCATCACAGGGGAGCTCTGGGCTCATAACCTGGTTGGCTCTGTTCCCTTCTACCCCTCCTCTTTCTTTCCTTTCTTATTGCCCCCCACACTAAATTATTTTTTACTATTCAGTGTCATTTAACTTTTCCGTGCTTATGGGGCTAAAATTCACTCCAGGCCCACTTTCCTATATCAAAATCCAACAAGGTTTCTAGAAGAATCAAAGGTCTTGTTTCAAAGGTTCCACTCAGGAAGCAGTGTTGGTTGAAAAAAAGATACATGTATGTATATATGTGTGTGTAATATATATGATTTGACACGCAGGATATACGTACATATACGTATGTGTGTATATACACACACGTATACATATATGTGTTGTATATATGTGTGTACGTACACACACACATATGCAAATCTTGCATGTCGAATTATGGTTGTAGAAGACTTGGCCAGGCCTAAAATGACTCTGTTATGGGGCCTGGGAGATTTACAAAGAAAATTCCTTTCAGTTTTCCTCTCCTATGTCTCTTCCTCTGAAAGTACAAAACAGTAGAAAAGTCTGATCATGTAAGTTTTTGATTGGTTGGAGTTAAAAGACATGGCTATTTTGTGTATTAGTCTAATGAAAATTTGAAGGAAATTTTTTTATATTTATTTATTTTTATTTATTTTTTTTAAGATTTTATTTATTTGAGAGAGAGCACGAGAGGGAAGAGGGTCAGAGGGAGAAGCAGACTCCCTGCTGAGCAGGGAGCCCGATGTGGGACTTGATTCCGGGACTCCAGGATCATGACCTGAGCCGAAGGCAGTCGCTTAACCAACTGAGCCACCCAGGCGCCCTGAAGGAAATTTTTTAAAAAGCAAGTGCTCATAATATACATCATGATAATAAACTGTCATCTGGTTAGCGTGCTTTTAAGCAGGTATCGTAGGATCTGTTCTTTAGAGAGAATGCTTCAGGTGAGCAGGGATCATATCAGTTTTGCTCACTGAACAATCCCCAAGTGCTTAGAATCATAAATAGTAACGTACGCATGAATGAATGAAATGGATTCGTTGGCTTTGATCAGTCTTGGCTCACAGATTTCTCTGAATCTTTGGAACAATCATTGGTCAGAGGGAAAACAAAAGAGAATTGAGCCAGCAAGGAAACTTCAAGCGCTTCATGTACCCACAGGAAGGTACAGCAACTGTAATAGAATTTATGGCTCTTCCAAATCAGTGACTTCAATACCTACTACTGTAATTATTTACATGATTCCCTCCTTTTTCACATTTTCCTTTGACAGCTGTGAGGGGTGTGGTGGGAGGAGCAGACTTAGGCAGGGTTATTGCTTGGTTCAGAGTTGAACAGACAATAGCTGTGTCATAACTCTGTCCTCTCTTGGTTATTAGCAAAACTCTGGAAGTCTTGCTTGATTAGAAAAGCTGAAAAAATAGTAGAAGTCTTTTGGGTAGAGGGTTTAAGCATAGCTTACACCTTTATCTTTCCAGCCTTGAGGTTTAGTACTGTTACTTCTGACAATCAGAATCCCTCAGTGGAAAAATTATTTGGGGGAAAAATTATTTTTGCTCAAAATTGGACTGGGTAAGAGAAATGAGAAGTAGAAAAAAAGTGCAGGAAATAGGCAATAAGCCAGTAAAACTATATACAATATACACACAAGTATATATGTGCTTTTATATATATATATAAATATGCTATAAACAGTCATGTGTCCACTTAAAAAACATACCACTTTCATATGTAAAACAAATGAGGTTTTAATTTTTTCTCTTTATTGAAAGAGTAATCTTAGGGTTCTTCTAAATAACAAATTGCCCTAAAGTGTGTAATAGCCATTGTAAGAAATGTTGA